GTGATGTTCCCACTTCTTAAATCATTTCCTGAGGACGATTCTTCCAATGCACGTCCCTTATCAGCTGCCACTCCCCAGTTCTCTGCATCACTTCTTTTCTCTCCCTGAAGGATCTCCTCTTCTACACTTATGGCATCAATCCCCATCGATATATTATCGACCTTTCTTGGATGTATCAAAGGCATCTCAAACTCTCAATATTTATAACCATAAACTCACAATACTCTCCATAAAGCCTGCTCTTCCTTTTTTATTCCCTATTATGGTGAAGGGCAACATCTTACGCTCACCAGTCACCCAAGCCAAAACTCAAGGACTTCCTCCCTGAAGTCCTTCCTATGTCATCAGTCACCAAATTCTACTGATTCTACTTCTCTATTATTTCTACAATCATTCTCTTCCTTTCATCTCACTTCTTTCCAACTACAATCCTAACTCAGATCTGCATCTTCACACTGTAGCTACAGAGATGTTTCTCAAATTCAAATTTGGCCATGTCTCTCTTTCTCACAACATTCCAGGGATTCCTTGCTGCCTTCAGGAGAAAGTTCACTCTCCGCAGCACAACATCAAGGCTCTCTGAGGAAGGCTAGGCCCGCTCCAATCTCAGCTCATGCCACTGGCCCTTTACAATAACAGTGTACATCCTCAAGGCACTGTGCTCTTGCCTCTGCAGACACTTCTTCCCCTGTTGGCAGTGCCCACTAACACCCATGCCACACACCCCCACTACCTGGCCTGGAGAAGGTCTACCAGATGGCTAAATCTCATCCAGGCACCTTTCTTATTTGACACCACAAGACCATCTTCACGTCATACCATGGCACCGTTCACATGAAATTATTGTTTTTTAAATGTGAACATATTTGCCTTTCCCCCTAGATGATGAATTCCTTGAGGATAGAACCAGGTCTTATCGGCCCTCCACTTTCAGTGCCTACTACAGTGCCTGGAACATAGAAAATGTCAAATAATTACCAAATGAATCAATAAATGCACAAATAAGGGGCTGGCCCCGTGGCTTAGCGGTTGAGTGCATGCACTCAGCTGCCGGTGGCCTGGGTTAGGATCCCGGGCGTGCACCGACACACCGCCTCTCCAGCCATGCTGAGGCCACGTCCCACATACAGCAACTAAAAGGATGTGCAACTATGACATACAACTAACTACTGGGGCTTTGGGGAAAAAAAGGAGGAGGACTGGCAATAGATGTTAGCTCAGAGCTGGTCTTCCTCAGCAAAAAAAAAAAAAAAAAAAAGAGGAGGATTAGCATGGACGTTAGCTCAGGGCTGATCTTCCTCACAAAAATAAATAAATAAATAAATGCATGAATTAATGAATAAATCATCCACATCAGTCTCAAAGGAGCAATTCCACATTCTAACACCTGCCTGTGACAAGGATAAAGGGAGACAGGACTACGATGTGTATTAACTTATTATATCAGTTAATTGCTTGTATTAATAGGATCATAGACATGTAAAGGCCACTGAATGCATCCCCAGTATCACAAAACATAGTGTACATTAAGCCTCAGTGCTTTGAAACTTAGTCATCTAAGATTTTGTGCTACTTGCAGCAACAATAAGACAGTGTGTATCATCGTCCTAGAATCACACTGTAGGAAAAGTAAATGCAGAGGGCTGTTTGATCTTTTATACACATGTCATTCACAGAACAATAGCCACTGTACCACCCAGCTCAGGACAGCTCAGGTTGCAGTCTCTCACAGTGTGACCAGGATGGGGCGGCCAACAGCAAGCATGGCCTTCACGTGCCCGCCTGCTAATCCTAGAACTTCTTCCCTGCTTCAGAAACATGGCGTCAGCGGGAGAAGTGACCTGGAGTAACCAGATGGCAAATGGAGGGTACTAAGTCCCACAGGACCCCACCAGCTTAGAAGGGTTTTCTTATAAAGCAAAGGTTACCCTCAGGAGAACGTCCCAGGGGACGGTGTCCTCCCATCTTCTCTACTCTCCTCTTCTTTGTGCATCTCTCTTCTTTGGCATCTGTTTGTGTCATTCGGCTCCTCCTTTTACGCCAATGACCCTAACTCTGTACAATGGGCCTCAGCCTGTGAAGGTCTTGGTTTGTGTTTCTAACTGTCTGACAGAAACCAAAATCCTCCAACTGGGGACACGAAACGTGGATGAAAAGGTAGAAACTTTCTCTAACACTATTAAGATTTTCTTGACAAGGTCTCATATAGAAAGAGGGTCTCAAAGAATTGTACTGTTGAAAAGGGCAAGAGTTGAAAGGGGCCAGTGGTTAAGCACTCAGCACTGATATGACACAGAACTGAGCTGGATCCCCAAATCTACCCTTACTACCCGTGTGATGCAGGCAAAGGTTTCTTAATTCCCATAAGCCTTAGTCTCCTCATCTAAAAACTGGGAATGATAACAGCAGTCACTATATCATGAGACTGATTGTTCCACTCTCTGGCTCCTTCCTCTACACCTACAAAGCTTCTATTGTCTCCAAAATCTGAATTTAAAAAACATAAAACACTTTGCTATTCTCTAACTCTTGTCCCTAAATCCCTCCTTGCCTTTTCCATATAATTTCTTGAAAGACAGTCTACGGTCTGTATTTATGCTTGGTCCCATTCTCCTTTTAGCTCAACATTCTATAGAAACTTCTTACTTCAGTTAATAATGACTTAATTGGCAATTATAGTCCTTATTCATGCATCTTGTTTGCAATGATGAAACAAATCTGAAAAGAAATGCAAGCTTTCTCCATGGTAGGAGCCTCAAGAAAAACTCGTTGGATGGGCTAGATAGAGTGTTTGCCTGGAGCAACCAGAAGCAGCATAATGGAAGGGATGGTAGAGGAATGGTCCTGCAGAAGGGAAGCCAAAAATTAGCGACAGAGGAGATACTAGGATCAAGCAGTGAACACACACAGCCAAGGAAAACAAGTGAAGGGTGTAGACCCAACAGTGGGCATCTGGGCCCATTTTTATAAGGTGCAGTTATTTGCCGCCTAGGTGGGCAGCACTCATCCTACTTAAAGTCTCTGTAGCATTTGTCACTATTAACCTCCCTCCTCCACATTTTGGAAATACTCTCTTCTGTTCTGGATCCCAGGACATCACTCACTCTTGGCTCTCCTCAAGCCCCTTGGACAAGTCCTTCTTAGTTCCCTGCATGATGTCATCTCCTCTCCCTATGCTGAGGTTTTGCACTCAGCTGGGCTCCCTTGTCTCCTCCTCAACTTGAGCTGATCTGATCTCGAATCCATTTCTTCTTCTTCTTGAACATAAAGCTAGAATGCACTTCCCAGCCTCTCCTGCAGTCAGGTATGGCCATGTGACTGAGTTCTAGCCAAGAGAAAGCAAGCATAAGTATGTTCACCATCTCTAGGACTGGCCCTTAAAAAACCCCACTCGAGATCCTTCACAATCTTCCCCTTCCTGCTGGCTATATGCCCACACCTGGGGCAACCTTGGCAGTGAGGCATTGAAGATGGCACAGCATCTTTCAACCTGGTCCCCTGAATGACTGCACAGAGAAAAGCCTTCGCTGTGAATCAGAAACACATGTTGGATTTTATGTAAGAAATACATTTCTACTGTGATAAACCACTGGAATTTTGAGGTTTATCTGTTACAGCAGCTACCATCTTTGCTGTTAAATCCCAAATCTATATACCGTTAGTCCAAACCTCTATTCTTAACATTAGACTCAAATTTCTAATTTCCTCCTGCTCCTTTACCAGACTAACTCCTAATATTTTTCAGGAATGATTCCCTGGACCTCCCAGTCTGGTTTGGGTTTCTTTCCCACGTGTTCCCACAGTGTCTTACTTACTACAGTTAACATAACTGTCTGTATAATCGTTCTGCCTCCCCAACTCTACAGTGAACTTTTTGAGGGTAAAGACTGTGTTTTAATGTCCGTATCCTCTGTGCCCAGTTGGCATGCAGGAATAGTTTCTTGTAAGAAGAAATAGATGAATGAATAAATAAAGGAATTACGATTTGTCATATTAAAAACATGAAGGCCCAAAGGTGGGGTGATCAAAGTTTATAAAATAATAAAAGGATGGAGAAGCTGAATGGGGAACTTTTAAAATTAATCCTTAGAAAAAGAGAAATAAGAAGAAACTGTTAAAGGTTGAAAAAGGGATTTTAAAGATTTGAGGGCAAACAAAAGAAGGCTTTACTGAGTAGTTAGTAAACTTGAACTTCTTATAAAACGATAGGGGATACAATAAAAATTTGTAAACATTACTAAAGGAAACTTGGTTTATTTAGAGTATGGCCCAGGCCTTTTGAGGTTGATCATAAAGAGAAAACACAGCCTTCCAGAACACATCCCTTTGGTACCTGGAGGAGAGGACACATTTAAAGCACCTCTTTTGTAATAATATCAACATCATTGTTTAAACACCTTATAGCAATGTTGCCTCCTGTTCCACCAGCTAACACCCCAGTGACAATTCACCTTGGTGCCCCCACCCACTGTGCATTAGCACTTAGAGCACCTACACAGAGCCCAAGGTGGGAGGGCGGTGACCAAAAGTGGGGCTAGAGAACAATCCAGAACTTTCCAGGGCATTCTTTCTAGCTCCCTCACCTCTCTGCACACAGAATTTTCCTGTGCAAGCCAAGGAAGAATGATTACAAAGCCCATGTGTGACTTACAGAAATAACCAGCATTGTCACTCTGCTTCCAAGACCTCCCCTCTTCTCCATGCCTGGGAAAACCCACATAAAGGAATAACCAGACTAATCAAAAGTCTGACTATTTCAGTGACTTCTATTTACTCTATAAAAACGGACTTTGAAAATACAGATCATAAATGATAGCTGGGTTCTGTTCATTCTTGACCTTTCAATTGCTTTCACCAGTTGAGACATTTAACTTTCATCGGCAAAGATGTGACTGACCTAAAGGGAGCTGAAACATAAAACAGACACTTCCCTTTTACAGAAACAACATTTAACCTTTAACTCAGAACTTCACACTGAAAGATTTAAAGTACGCACTCACCTGTAGCTGGGATATAGTTAAAGGGTATCGGAACAATATCCAGGTAACTCCTTCACTGCAAGGTGGAATAGTGAGAGAGCCTTCATACACCCAGTAATCACGCAGCAGAGGATCTGTGCAGCCACGCGGACGGGTCGCAAAAAGGCAAGTTAATTAATAATAACTTCCAAGACTCCAACAATAATTTTCAAAATTATAAACTGTCCAAATAACACTTCTCAAACTGACGCCATTTTTAAACTAGAACCTTCACATATGTACTCTTAAACTAATCATCATGGAGAAAATAATCAATGGAAAACATGATGAATTCTTTTTCTATCATTTATAGTGATTTCTATCAACGGATTACATATACTGTACATATCCAAATATGGCTATGTAAACTTTATATATATATATATTTCAAGTTCAGTCACTTTAGGAGACATGTATCCATGGTTTTCTTTTTACTTTATTGGAGGATTTACCTGATTGATTACACCTAATATTTATCGAATGCTTACTACATACAAGGCACTATTCTAAGCATTTTACCTTAACTCACTTAACCCTCACAACAAACCAATGAGATAGGTACCGTTATTAGCCCCATTTTTCAGATGGGGAAACTGAACCATAGAGGGTTACATAATTTGCCCAAGGTCATTCAACTAATAACTGGCCGAGCCAGGATTCAAACAAAAGCAGTCCGGCTTCAAAGTCTGTGTGTTTAACCATTCTGTTCTGGCTACCTTTATATTGCTTCTTCAACAGCAAAATATTAAAATCATATTATGATAGGACAAAAGAAATCATTCCTATGAAATCTTTTAGCCCTGTATTAGAGGAATTCATGACTAAATATGATGGGTAAATATTCAACATATGGCAAAAACTGGTTTGTTGTAGAGCAATTAAATGTAGAAAGTAGAAGATTCAATGAATTCACCTATTTGGTTTTGTTTGAAACACTAAGAAATTTCATATACTTTAGGCAAAGAAATGTGAAGACCAAAATTTTGCACAAAACCTTTAACTAGAAATTCTATTCTGAGTAATTTATACATAATTCTTACCTGTTCAAACATACCTAAACAATTAGAATAACAGCTAAATAATAGTATCATTGTAAAGAGGTTACCTCATAAAATTAGATATAATCACTCTAGAGATTAAAAAGAACTTCACTGACAATCTGAGAAGTATATCAAGGTTATGTTATTATGCTAGTGCTTGACACAGAGGTAGCAATTTTTACAAATGAAAATCCAAAGAAAATTCTTCATGGATTAATGGAACCAGTGGCAAAGTGTCTATTATTTTAAAAAGTTTACTCTCATGTTTAGAGCAATCTGAAACTGGTACCTACTACAGAGAAAACAAATTGTAAAGAAACTTTATTAACTAATAATATATAGTTATCTATACTTGGAGGGAAACAATGCAGTCATAGCCACACAATTAAAATTCACCTTATGTAATCAGATGAATTCTTACCTGGTAATAAAGTGTTAGGATTAAAGCAGGGTATGGTTTTGGACTTCCCCTGAAAAAGAAAAAAATTTATTCCATGTTAATATAAAATTTCTAAATTTGAGAATAAAAAATTTATTAGCACTGAAAATCCAGGTTGAAGTCTTTTCTGAAAGGCATCATTGGACCCCACAGATCTGTAGGTATCTCATTCTGTCTTCTCATTGGAGTACCAGTGGCTGGTTCCAAGAAGATACCCCTGCTCTATGTCTATGGCTATTTTCTTCACTACCACAGTTCAGTTTCCCTATAATTCTGGTGTGAAAGTTACAACTGTGTGTCTAGTGTCTGTTTTGTTCCACGTCAGCTACTTTTCCTGCTCCTAGCACAGCCATACCAGAGACTTGGGCCTTGAGGTAAAATGCCGGAACCCTGGCTTAGGAGATTCTTTTGAAATGACTTTCCTCCTGCTGCTTTGATCTCAGCTCTTAACTTCTTGGCATTACAACCTGGCTCCCAAATTCTTGTTTGGTCCCATTTGGACTTGGTAACTCAGCTCTAGGATCTATTCTAGATGCTCTTCTCCTCCAGAGATGAAGGTCTGACGCTAGGATGTAAACATTCAATGTCAATCAACTTTTATCAAAGCTAGATTTAAATTTCAATAAAATATTTGTGCCATTATTCAACAATTCACATTTAAGATCACTATTTTAAATAGTGCCATTTAAATTGCTCTGGCCTTAGAGGCAGACAGACCTGGCAGGGCAGTGCTATGTCTTTCATAAGATTACGCTACTAACACAGACATAATGGGGAAAGTTAATGCATAATCTCGAAGTCTCTTTCTTACTTTTAGGGACCATTTGACACATTAAAGAATTCAGCTTTCTTGCCTCTCGCCATCCTCCTATATTCCATAATGACTGATATCCTAGTAGCTGAAGAAAGAAAGCAAAATTTCTCGACCCATATTGGACAAAGGTCAGTCAAAATGTATCCTCGCCCCCTTTCTACCAGCTTCTCTGACTAGCTTGTGCTTTCCCTCGGTAGCTGCATTCATTCTGAGCCTGCTCAGGAGATCTCCAATAGAGGTTCTTGCCTGGTTCAAGATGCCCTGGGCCTGTGCTAGCATAGAGCTAATCAGACTTCATTCCCAGATTGATTTTAGGATTGGCCTTGGGTCTCTGGATCCCTGTGCTGTATCTCCAATAGCCATACAGGATTAAACCACTCCCCCACCAAGGTCACTCAGATTCAACTGACTCAGTGTGAGCATAAAAGGCTTATACTGTTTATAACAGAATCTAGCTTCCCAGCAATGCTGGGCCAAATCACTACAGGGTCAGAGCAATCTAAACCACCTTCTCTGGGATATATTATCTTACGGCTTACGTGTACTTGTCTTTTTTTGTTTTTACATAAATACTTTGAAGTATGGTTGCCACAATTTTTGTTTCATTTACACATTTTCCTATAACCAATGGGTGGACAGGGTTAACTCAGCAGGTCTGGGTTGCTTAATCCGAGATATTCCAAAAAAAGACCTGTCTTCAAGACTGGCCCTTGGCTGGCTCCTGGCAAATAATCTCTGAGCCCTTGAACCACGCCATATTTACAGTGAACGCCTGTGTTTTTATGCCCATGGCCTTAGGCCATGCTGTACAAGTTTGACCAGATAAAGTTTATCCTGACAATGTGACTGATAGTGAATGCCTGGTGTTGCTCAGGGTGGAGTGGGAGGGCTGGAAGCAAAGTAGCTGAGGTCGGTCACACAGGCATTACACACTTGCATGACTGACCCCTAATAAAATCCCTGGACACCAAGGCTTGAGCAAGCTTCCCTGGCTGGTAACACTTCGCACATGCTGTGACACATTGCTGGGAGAATTAGGTGCATCTCCAAGGGTCTCCACTTGGACAGAACACCTGGAAGCTTGTGCCTGGTTTGTCCTGGACTTTGCCCCACACATCTTTTCACTCTGCTGATTTTTGATCTGTATCCTTCTGCTGTAATAAACCACAACCATGAGAATAACAGCTTTTCTGTGAGTCCTTTTAGTGAATCATCGAGCCTGAGGGTGGTCCTGGGGACCTCTTTCACAACCAGTATTTGCATTTTCTTTTAAATAATGACTTACCTTATACTGAATATCCTGGAGGATTTCAGTCACAGCCTTCAGGCCTGCATGTTCTTTTCCTATCTGAAATATGTCAAGCATAATCCATAACCACAAAATTTTTAAATGTTTAGCTTTTACTCAAAATAACTAACAGAAGCAAGGCTTAAGTCCACCTGAATATCTTTCTTGGGGAATAATTAAATGACCTTTTTATTAATAACCAAGTCAACATCTACTAACCACAATTAAAGTTGTAATAGAAGCTAGTACAATAAAGGATTAGATATGCTCTTGGACATTTCCAAAATCCATTCTAAATTCATTCTTGCTGTGTACAGGTATCACCCACTGTGCTGTAGATATCAAATGATATAATATTGCAATATAAACATTTCAAGGATATTTCTGAATTAAAATTATTCATCACAAGCCCAAACTGGTCCATTTTTACCTTCGGTATTTCTAGATTACTGTTACAAAGATGTTACAAAGATTTTATCAATTTTGAAAAAGTTTTATTAACTCAGAAAAGTGAGTACGTGATTTCATATGTTAAAGTCACCAAAATCAGGACATTTCTTGATTACCACTGGACATTATCACTTTTTTATTCTTAAACAAATCAGAATATGCTGTTCACAGCTTTCTATTTTAAAACATTATATATCATTACATACTTTTAGTGTATAAAAAGCTCCAAAGAATTTGAGACTTTAAAAATCTGATATTAAGTATTCTTGACTTTAACTTTAAAAATCGTAAGTGTATTCTGATTTCTACTTTTCAACCAAGTTTCGATGGTCCATGATAATGGAGGACAGTAATAGCAGAGATAATTTATAACCTCGGATAAACAATTATTTGTTATCATTCACTTTTTCTCTTCCACATAAATTTTTGGATTACGACCAATAAGGAGGTAGAACAGCTCTCAACATGTTCACCTTCTCTGTTTCTCTCCAAGCAAACCACTTGTGAAATCCACTAGGAGAAAGGGCACCAAAGAGGAAAGAACACAGACAAGAAACTTACATCATCTAAGATCGGCCAGTCAGTTCAAAATAATCAAGACTTTAACTATGTTCCAAGCGGTTGCAATTCCCTAGATAGGCTCTAAAAACAGAAAATGAATGCTCGAAGTCAAAAAAAAAAAAAAATGCCTCAGCCAAATTACTCATGAGTGCAAAAGCCTGGACCTTTAGGCAGAAGCCCTCATCCGATCTTCAGGGGACACGGCCGTCTCTGTTTTATTGGTTTAACCATGATATAGCATTTGAACGCCTACGCTGACAGCTGGTGCCTGTTTTCATTTCATACACTTCCTGTCAGATTATCAGTCTTTGAAGAGTCCACATCTGAACGTTCGTTGTAAACCCGCATAACGCAGTGGTTCAGGAGCAAGGTCATTTGCATTAGCTGCCTGAGTTCTGATTGTGACTTTTTAGCCTTGAGCAAGTTTACTTAACTTCTGTGTCCTTCAGCTTCCTCAACTATACAGTGGGGAGGATAAAAGTGATAGAGCTGAAGATAAGACTAAATCAAACAAAGAACTTAGAACAGGGCATGGGGCATCGTAATTCAATTAATATCACCCATTATTATTCTTATTCAGAATGCCATACAGTATGAAATAGTTTTTACATATAGTAGCACTTAGTAACTATTACGGGCTCCTTCTATCTGTAAGATTCTTTACTTTCTGGGCAAAATTTTATATCTTGCAACAAACTCCAGTTATTGTTCCATCTCGTTCCTTTCCTTCTTCGCCAAATTGCTACCTGAAGAGGTTACAACAACCAAAAAGCAAGTATAGATGGTACTCTGCACATCTCAGCCCCTAAATCCTATAGCAGTCCAGGTGACAACACAACCTGGTGCCAAGAGTCCACCGGGAACCATGAGACCAATTAACTTCTTAGCTCTCACCTTTGCCATTTTTCACCATCACCCAAAATGCAAACCTTCTGGTCAGTTTCCTCTCCTAGAATCTCAGCCCTGCACAGCCCTGTGTTTTTCCCTTTCTAACTCTGATCTCCTCTCATTTTCCACTGTGCCCTCCGGAACAGGATGACTCCGCATCTTTGACAAGCTCTCCCACCACCTCCGGGTCTATGTGAACCCCCTGGGGTTTGCCCCGGGCCTTTCGAGTAGACACTGTGCAGTCTCCTTCAGAGACAGGACTGAAAGCTGTGGCCAGTGCCCTGCTGTTACCTTGGGATGGGTACTCTGACTCACATGCACAAGGCCATCCTTCTCTGAGCAGACCATCCTCCTCTGATACTATCACACTCTACTTGTTCCAAAGCTAAACTGTTATAAAGTTAAAAAAAAAAAAAAAAAAAGACCCATTGGTCACTCCCTCGTAGTCATCACCTCTTGCTGTCACTCTGGAGAACTTCAACATCCATGTGAGTGACCCGTCCCGTCCCTGGCCTGTCTCTCTACCCCACAGTCCATGGCTTTCAGCCCCATTCCACCTCAGCAAACCAATCCTGAGAACACACTCTGGATTTGTGTTCACTCTGAAAACTTCAACTCCAAGGGACCACTCCTTCTCACCATAACTTCTCATCCACCCAGCTCTGCCTCTCTTTTCTCTCTCTTCCCATCTCTGATTGCAAGAGGCCAAGGCTCTCAGGAGCCTCTTGGCTTTGTCTCTTTCCCTTCCTGCCTACACTGAATAACATCTCTTCAACCACTCTCAATGCTCTAATCCCTTTGTCCTCCCAAATCATCTTCTCTGCAATGGGTCGATGTAGCAATTTGCTAGAATTCTCTACTCCTCTATCTGGATAGAGAACAATCCACAATACATTGTCCTGTACAATCTGTGACATCCAATCTCAAGTGGGTCTCCCACACTGATTGTCAAGTCTCTTATCATTACTTTCCTGGGCTATTTCAAAACCCAATCCCACACCCACATTTCCCTTGCTCTATAAATAATTTTGCTTCATGTGTCTCAGAGATAATAAAGGTCATCAGGCATGAAGTCCCCTCATTTCCTGCCTTTCTTCACCTACTAATTTGCCCATTTGTACCCACCCTTTCCTCCTGGCCCTCTCTTTCAGAGAAAGGGTGGGACCCCTCCTATCCAAAGTTATTCCGTTCACAAAAGCTCTCCATCCTGTGCCCTCCTGGCTCCTCAAGGACTTTTCTACATCAACTATCCCCTCTCTCTCCGGTATTTTTAAACTCTACATCTGCACTAGCTCTTTTCACTCAGAATAAAAACATAGGCAGATCTCAGATCTCAAAATTAAACAAACAGAACTTTGCTGTACATTACCACTAGCTATTACCCCTCTTTCTTTTCTCAAGTCAAACTTCTTGAAAGGGAAGTCTACACTCACTGTCTCCCACCTTCTCCCCTCCATCCTCCCATTCCTGTCAGCTGAGTGCAAGACCCCCTGTAAGGATTTCCTCACCTCCCTGCTTTGGCTGGCACTCCTGATTGGTCCTACTTTCCTCATGAACTTTTGCTCTCATAGTTCCTGTAATTTTACTCTCTCCTGAGATATCCTGAATTTTTCCTCACAGCAAACTTATGGAAAGTTAGAACAAGTGTGCATGCTCTCAAGCTTCCCTTCCCTACAAGAACGAGCTGGCTCTAGGAAATACTGATATTCTTGGCTTCCAATTTGGTGCTCTTTTAGTCCATGTCACCTATTATATGCTAATAATCAGTAAGTGAAAATATTTAGTTATCACATTTAATTCCACTCACAAATATTTATTGAGTACCAACTCCAAAGATGAAACTAATATATTCTCTTCCCTTCTATATATGACTACTCAGTTATTTGTATTCTTATTTTTATTGTATTGTATTATTATTTTTATTCTTATTTTTTAATAACAAGACATTGCCTTCTACTTTTACTGTATCAACCCTCAAATTTGGATGATTTATTAACTTTTTCAGGTTACAAAAAAATGGCCTTTAATAGCTATTACTATACTAAAGATTATCAAAATGTATTTATAAAATTAAAAACATTTTTATCATTATTTTGTGATTCCATTCTGTTTCTACGATGCAGTTATAAAATAGAAGGAATATAGGGCCTGCCTGTGAAAAAGCCATGAAATAAATAGTGAGAAGAGGATGCATTTAAAAATGTAAGGATTTGTTTGGGGTTTTTTTTGTTGTTTTTTTTTTTAATTTATTTATTTATTTATTTATTTTCCCCCCAAAGCCCCAGTAGATAGTTGTATGTCATAGTTGCACATCCTTCTAGTTGCTGTATGTGGGACGCAGCCTCAGCATGGCCGGAGAAGCGGTGCGTCGGTGCGCGCCCGGGATCCGAACCCGGGCCGCCAGCAGCGGAGTGCACGCACTTAACCGCTAAGCCACAGGGCCGGCCCACGATTTGTTTTTAAATTCTATGACTGGTATAATACTTGCAAGACACTAATTTTAAAATATAAAAAGGCTAAAACAAGATGGCTACTTTTAAACATCGATAGAGAAATATCTTAGAAAGAAATTTATAATAAAAATTGCTGTAATTAATAATACTATTGAAATGCATGCCACAAAAAAGCAAGTTTCCAAAGGCCCATTATCCAACTCTCTTTGGAAAATTAAGTTACTAAAGACCACTATGCTAACGTTACCGCTCTAAACCCAGGTTATCCAAGAGGCAGCCTGGAACCTCACAGAGTTGGACCAGTGGTTTCTGGTCTTGACTGGTGACATTAAATCCCTGTGTGACTGTAAACAATGACTTGATCTCTCTGGCCCTTGGGTGTCTCTTTTGTAAGATGGGAGATGGGAAGCCTAAAATTTCCAGGGTCTCTTTCACCTCAAATCTTTTATCCCATGAAGTAGCTGATAAGATAAAGTTCAAATGGTTCACCTTAAAAACTAGATTAGGGGCCAGCCTGGTGGCTTAGCAGTTAAGTGCGCGCGCTCCGCTACTGGCGGCCCGGGTTCAGATCCTGGGTGCGCATCGACAAACCGCTTCTCCGGCCATGCTGAGGCTGCATCCCACATACAGCAACTAGAAGGATGTGCAGCTATGACGTACAACTACCTACTGGGGCTTTGGGGAAAAAAAGGAGGAGGATTGGCAATAGATGTTAGCTCAGAGCCGGTCTTCCTCAGCAAAAAAAAGAGGAGGATTAGCACGGATGTTAGCTCAGGGCTGATCTCCCTCACAAAAAAAAAAAAAACTAGATTAAATTTTTACCTCTGAAAGTATTTGGTCCACTTTGGTACATTTCACAAAATTTATATAGAATTCTTCACCTGCCACAGAGCTCAAATCTAAACTTTATATTCACTATATCCACCGAGATCTTTGCCAGTCTTATTTTATCATTGTTTTCTATAAGGCATTTCAAATCATCTTCCTGGAGTGAAAGTTATTAATAACAAAGATCTAATGGACTCTACTACATGATTATATTATTGATTTTTCTTAGACTTTGCAGTAAGCCAGGATCCAAAAACATTTTCTCAAATTCTTTTTCATTAATAAAATGAACTCTGCCTTCAGGAGACATTTTCTAAATCATTTCTCAAAAGACCCTGAATGCCACTCTGAAGCAAATTTCTAATAAGTAAATGAGTGATTTTCTACCAATGAATATGGCTGCTCTCTCACGACCCACAAAGATCGAGTTTTCTATTTTGAAATGATCAGTGTTCTCTGTATATGTGTTTAATGTCACCTTTAAGTAATAAAACCGAGAGAGAACAAAAAACATTCTGCAAAATGAACTGGAAATAAGCATCTCTGAACAATACAATAATCAGAGCAGGAGACCATTTACCTGAACAAACAAAGCAATGATGGCGATTCCATGGGGCTTCCCCACAGCTTCATCAATACTGCCAAACAGGGTGGAGTTCCAGTGGATCAGATGGAGCTGGTGAGCAACAGACAGGTCACCTCATTACTTAAGGTACTTCTATTTAGAAAAGCAAAGATACATCAACTTCTCCTTAACTATATCTATCATATCATATGCAACAAGAGTATCACAAACAGACACAGACAGACAACTGCTTTAATACCAGCTCTCTGTAGAAATGCTTGCCTTCTTTTTCCATTGAGGTCACATTGGTTTATAACATTATATAAATTTCAGGTGTACCTCATTACATTTCAACTTCTGTATAGACCACATCATATTCACCATCAAAAGTCTAGTCCATCACCATATATATGTGCCCCTTTGCCCTCTTTGTCCTCTCCCCACCCCCTTCCCCTCTAGTAACCACCAATCTCTTCTCTATATCTATGTGTTTGCTTGTTTATCTTCCACATGAGTGAAGTCATATTGTAATTGTCTTTGTCTGATTTATTTCACTTAGCATAATATCTTCAAGGTCTATCCGTGTTGTGATAAATGGCAAGATTTCATCTTTTCTATGGCTGAGCAGTATTCCATTGTATGTGTGTGTGTGTGTATATATATATATACACACCACATCTTCTTTAGCCATTCATCGATTGATGGGCATTTAGGTTGTTCCCAAGTCTTGGCTATTGTGAATAATGCAGCAATGAACCTAGGGGTGCATATATATTTTTGAATTAGTGTTTTCATGTTCTTTGGGTAAATACCCAGAAGTGGAATAGTTGAATCATATGGTAGTTCTATTTCCAATTTTTGAGGAATTTCCATACTGTTTTCCATAGGGCTGCACCAATTTACATTCCTACCAGCAGTGTATCAGGGTTCCCTCTTCTCCACATCCTCTCCAACACTTGTTATTTCTTGTCTTTTTAATAACAGCCATTCTGACAGGCATGAAGTGATATCTCATTGTGGTTTTAATTTGCATTTCCCTAATAATTAGTGATGTTGAACATCTTTTCATGCGCCTGTAATGCCTTTCTTCTTACTTCTAAACAGAGCAATGCTTAGTGGATGGCTGCCTCTCGAGTTCTGCTATAGTCCTACAGGGGCACATCGAAGGAGACTCACAAATTTCACATGGATTTAGTTGTCTTTCCCTAAATGTCATTCTTTCTGGATCTCAGTGGAACAAAACTCCAGATCTAGGCACAAACACTAGAGCTCATTCAAAGAATTAGTTCCTGCATAATCAAGTACCAGTATTTCCACTAAGAAGAGTACAAAGCCAGTCTCAAATTCTGGTAAATTACTTCAACTTTCTAAGAACATCCAGAGACTGCATCCTATAGAAAACGCGGCATCTTTTTAAAGCTGTGGTAAAATAATGAATGCTGACGTAAAGCTCTAACAGAAGGCTATTTCCTGCACTAGAGATAAAATTTTATCGGTGAAGGAATGACAAACAATGCTCTGGAGGACTCCTCACTTCTAGCCTCATAAAGCTCTGTAGCTTTCAAGTTTATCTAGAATATGCACTTGCTCCTACAGCACTGATAAAACACTTGCAGAAAGCCGAATTCAATTCCCTGGTTAAAATCAAACGGCCACTGAGGTTCTTAGTATAACAGTGGCCTCGTAAACCTTCTGCCTAGCACGCTATTTTCCTTCATCACTATAGCTTTTAATCGAGTTATAATTACTTAAAACACTGCCTCATTTAAAAATTAGTTCTAACCCAAAAAGACATAGCTAAAATTCAATCACCACGTCATTAGCAACCATGTTAAAATATTAAGGAAAATTATCAGGAGGATGGCCACAAATTTGATTTTTCTACTGCTGAATTTGTCCAACTAGAAATCAAGATATATAAAGCTGACCACTAGAGGGAGGTGAGGAAGTCCTCTGCCTACAAGAGAAAGGGTACCCAGGAGAGGTCAGGCTATAAAAACCCACATGCACTGTGACCGCCCAGCAAATGTGACTGTCAAGGCACTGCCTTTAGGAAAACAATGTTCTATAACCTTTCAATTAATAATGAAAGACAGACCAATGTTAATCTTTCCTTTCCTGGCTGCAACAACAGCATAGGAGTCCCAGTGGTACAGATAAGTGTACAGTGGGACGGATAAGAACTGATTGCCTCAATTAAATCAACAAAGGAGGCCCAAAGTCGAAATCTATTTTTATTTAACAAATTACAAAGTTCAAATCAACATTTTTCTTACTTCTCATAGCAACATTATGGAGTATGTTTTCTGAAACAAAACAAATAAACCAAAAAAGCATGGTTTGTTTGGGGTTTTTTTGCCACTCCTCATAATTCAGCAACATCATCACTCACACCCGCTCTTCAAAAACTGCTTCACATTTTTTCTGTGTTTAAAAAATTGAGGGTCTCCCCTCCTTAAGCATGTGCTGTGTGTGGTGACTTCATTTCAAAGAGTACAGTATGGAAAAGTAACTTTATAGTGGAGACACCTGACAAACACTGCCTGAGCCAGTGATCAAGGTCAACATCAACAGTCATGAGACCTGTTTACAGCACAAACCCTTGACATGATGTGATGACAAGGACATCTCACCTCTGTGGTCTTCTCCCAACATTCCATAAGCCCAGTCTAATCATGAGAAAAAATCAGACAGATCTCAGTAGAGGAACATTCTACAAAATGCCCGACCAGTACTCCTCAAAACGGTCAAGGTCATCAAAAACAAAGAAAGCCTGAGAAAACGTCACAGCCAAGAGAAGCCTAGGGAAACACGATAACTAAGTGTAATGTCGTATCACAGCTGAGCTCTTGGAACGGAAAAAGGACATTAGGTCAAAAACCAAGGAAACAATAAAATAAAGACAATGTATCGATATTGGTCCACTAATTATAACAAATGCACCATACTAAAGTAAGATGTTAATAATAGGGAAAAGTGGGTGTGGGTTCTACGGGAACTTTCTGTACTATTTTCATAATTTTCTTGTAAATCTAAAACTGCTCTAAAAAATACAGTCTATAAAAAAAAAAAAGAAAAGAAACATTAAGGAAAATGCTGGCACTTCCACCTGGTGTTCCCTCTACCATCTGGGTCTTAAATAATCCCTTGAGATTTGGCGCCTCGGGGGCAGAGAGAGTCTTCTTTCACAGCCAACAAGGGACCCAAGCTTTAAAGCAAAGCTCTGTCCTAGACTTACTGAGAAACCCTCTTCTCTTGGAAGCACTTTCATTTTAAGCCCAAACAAAATATGATTAGATATCACCTTTCCACACCATTAGAGGATGGTTAATTCAAGTACCAGGCAAATTTTCAATACGATCTGGAAATCAGCTATAACCTCGTTGTATAGTAACTCAGATGCACAATCCACAAACATAACACACTCAACATTTTTGCTGCCTCTCGGCTTTAGCTCACTCTGCTCCCGAGCCCTTCTTCACTCCACCTATATTAGTTTGCTAGAGCTGCCATAATAAAGTGCCAAAGACTGAGTGATTTAAACCACAGAAATTTATTTTCTCACAGTTTTGGAGGCTTAAAGTCTGAGATCAAGGTGTCGGCAGGGTTGGCTTCTTCTGAGGTCTCTCTCTGGTTTCTAGATGGCCGTCTTCTCCCTGTGTCCTCAACTCGTCTTTCCTCTGTGTGTGTCTGTGTCCAAATTTCCTCTTCTTATAAAAAGAGCACCAGTCATACTGGATTAGGACCTGCCCTAACAACCTCATTTTAGCCTAATTACCACTGTAAAGATCCTGTCTCCAAATATGGTCACATTCTGAGGTACCAGGAGTTAAGACTTCAACATATGAATTGCAAGGGTGGGGGGGAGGTGGAAACAATTCAGCCCCTAACATCTTAATGAAGTTTTTTTCAGAGCTCAAAAGCTAGACTTATTCACATCGACTTCTGTTCTCCCATAGCCCCTTCTTTATTCCTAACATCTTATATTTTGCCTTATATTAGTGTTGGCTCTGTTCCATAAAGCAAAGCCATAGAGACAGGAAAATTATCAGTGCATTTGAAGAACTAAGAGTACCACTATACATAGCTCGAGGGTCCTGGCAGGACAAGAGACATGACTCTGGAAAGTTAGGTTCTGATTGCACAGAGCTTTACATTTTACCATAACTATATTTGGGGGAATATTAAAGCAATATATTACTGCAGTGAATATTATTACTACTTACACTGCTTTGAATCAATCAAACTCCCCCATACCAATGTCTTTCCTTCAAAGGTCCTTCTGGCACTATGGTGATGGACTGGAAGTGTTAGACACAGGAAGATGGACGATAAGCTAAGAGGCTACCACAAAAGTTCCAGCCGAAAAATTATGATAGGGCTGTGAGATGGTTAATTTTATGTGTCAACACGGCTAGGCTATGGTGCCAAGTTGTCTTGCCAAACATCAGTCTAGATGTTGCTGCAAAGGTAATTTTCAGTTGTGATTTGAGTAAAACAGATACCCTCCATAATGTGGGTGGCCCTTGTCCAATTAGTTGAAGGCCTTACAAGCAAAGGCTGAAGTCCCCTGAAGGAGAAGAAATTCTACTTCCAGGTTATATCATAAAAATCCTACCTGAGTTTCCAGCCTTTGGCCTGACCCACAGATTTTTGGACTTGCCAGTTCTTAAAACAAATCTTAACTCTTCTTTCTCTCTCAATCTCTCTCTCAGACAGATAGATATAGAAATATTCTCTCTGTCTCTCTCTCCTTCCCTCTCTCTCTCTCTCTCTCTATATATATATATATACACACACAAACAAAACAAAAAAAAAAGTGTGGAGAGGAATGGAGGTTCAAATCTGAACAAGACTAGTAGCAATAGGAATAAAGACAAAGGGCTCTAACAACTAAAGTGACAGTATTTAGAATTTATTCTCCTAAGAGTAAACACCTCTCCTTTGGGGAAGGGGAATGAGGGGACAGAGCAATCCACTGACGATCAGAAAGAACACATTAGGGGGCGGCCCCGTGGCTTAGTGGTTAAGTGTGCCCACTCCGCTACTGGAGGCCCCGGGTTTGGATCCCGGGCGTGCACCGAGGCACCGCTTCTCCGGCCATGCTGAGG